ATTACAGCAGCCCCGTTCATTTGTAGAAATCATGGATGGGGGGTTTTTAGTAGGTCATTAGCCCATGTCAGGGGGGGCTTCAATTGGGGGGGGGGGGGGGGGGGGCGCGTTGAACGTGGTTCCGCTTTCCCTGGGTCGCTCCAGACCTGTGGCAGGTACACAGGGAAGAGATGCATACCAAACCAATCAGGCTTCATGCTTCTTCTCCGGAAAGACTCTTCTTTTGAGCTCTCTTGACCATTCATACTGAGAGAAATAAAAACTGCCTTCCTTCGTCGATTGTGAAGGCGAAGAAATGACGCTGCACTCTAATTTCGTCTTTGCTTTTGGTTGGCTAGGTTTACTGTTCAGCGCAAAACAAGCAAGAGAGAGGTCAAGGGATGGTGGATTGAAGGATGGACGGGTTTAGTCTTCTCTTCGTCTAGGTCTTACGAGAGAGGGAAGAAGCACTCCGGTACTTGCGCGAAATACATCTTCAGCGGGACAGTGTTTGGTGTCCACCAAGCCCATGCCTCCAAGCTAAGCCGACAAAGAGGTCAGTTCCAACCACAGCAAGATCCGTTCGTGTGCGTTAGACCGACGGTCCGGTCTGTTGCCTCCTCCGAACACCGCACAACGACACGCCTCAGGACCAGGTGTGTTCTACGCAGATACATACATACCAAGCCGTTCGTTGTGGGCATCTTTTGAGCTTATTTACCTCTCCGCCCAAAGCAAAGTGAGAGTGGAACGACAGCACGACGAGCGCCGTACCCACAGTAACCATCAACAAATTCCTTCGGTACACGGCGGAGGGGGGTCCAAGCGAAGCGAGGGCGGGCAAACGGCCGTCACGCGGCGACGACGACGACGACGACAAGACGCCACGCGCGTGGACTCTAAAAGCAGAGGCACAATAAGCCGAGGATGATGGCATGAAAACATACTTTTGCGTCGCCCCATGTTTGTTACGCCAGTTGACGCCGCTTGTGTGGCACTCTCCTCGTCTGTCTGGCCTTCCGAGCTTCCGATACACACGCCGTAACCCTGGAGGCCCTCCTGACCCTCTTGACATCCCCGCACAAGGCCTCTCATACTCTATTACTTCGGAGTAACCGTTGAGAACAAAACACTCGCCCTCGTACGCAACAATACCAAAAGGGGGGCACCAAGTCTGAACGACAGGGTTGACCTCGCCCCACAACTCACGACCATCCCAGATCCGGACGCAACTGTTGTTCTTGTTGTTGCTGTCTTCACATAAAAAACCGTTCCGGTCTCCGCTCTGCCTTTCAATATCTGTACTGGTCCACCTGACGCGGACGCAATGATCAGAAATTTTCGTCCGTCTACTTAAACGCATGGTGTGTGATTTCAACGCAAGCGTGTTCTGGTGCCAATAATAGCGGTCAGCCTGGAGAGCTGCTACCACTCAGGTGCGCGCCCCAAGAAACGTCTCCAGCAAAGAATAACAAAACACAGCAGTTATGCGTCGAAACGCTGCTCGTCTGACCGGCCGTGGGTTGCTTCCAAAGGGGTGCTTGGAGCTGATCGGCACCAACCGAGATCAAACACGACCCATGATCCGCGCCCAACCTCTTAAGGGCCGTCCCATACGACCGGTAGTATTCGCTACCAAACGAGTCGTGGACAGACAAAGAAGGTTCACGACCCGTACACAAGGTCGACGATTTGGCGCAATAAACGGATGAGGTTTTTCCACGCCGCGCACATGCCCCTCTCTCCCTACCAACAGCCCGTGCATCAGACAGAACAAAAAAAAAAGCAGGGCTGTGGAAGAATGATAAACTCATTTCTTGTTTTCTTCGTTTTTCTCCTCCTGCCTATGCTCTTCCGTACTTTTACCGAGAGCAACGCGTGGCTTAACACCCCAACAGACTCTTGGCACCAATAAAGAAACCAGCAACCAAATCAATAGCGAAAGTTCCCGCCCCGGTCCTCCCTGCACGAAAACCCTTCGTCCAACCGCAGCCCTCCTTTGCCCCCCAAGTATCGATCAATCAATGGCCATGGTTAATGTTTCCCGAATGCTCCGCCGGGTGCTTGATGGGGTTGAGAGTGCTCGAGTGCAAGCCGACGAGGGCGAAGGCCGAGAGGTGCAGCAGCAGCAGGTACGCCAGGAAGGCCGCCCGGGCCACGGACGAGTTGCGGAGGAACACCACTGTTGTTGTTGTTGTTGGTGGTGGTGGTGGTGGTGGTGGTGGTCCGCGTGCAACAAGAGCGAAGCACAACAGATACACAAAAAGAGGGTCAATATGGAGGTTGAAAAAGTGCGCGTGCAGAGAGAAGAGACGCACGCGAGAAGAGAAACAGGGGCTACCTTTCTATTCATAGCGCACAAGTGTGTGAGTGGGCCAACGCGGGACTCGGAAGTGTCGTGAGAAAAAAAACGCCGTTGAGCCGAAACCCGAACAGTCGCTTCGTCAACGGTCAACAAACCAACCGTCGAAATAATTTCTTCATATCTCTGGGATGATTCAATGTAGGTGTGGACAGCGCTCCAGGCTTGAAATTAATCCGTTCTACAATAATATTTGCAAGGATTTCACCACAAGAAAAAAAAGACGTAAACAAGCCTACAACGGGTATTATTATGCATGGTCTAAGGGTCAATTTCGACCTAACGCCACCTCTTCAAAACGCGCGTTTCACTTTGTTGGGCGAACGGCAATCCGTCATCAACTCATCAATTACAAAAAAACGCCACTATAGTACAAAATGACGTTTGGGGTTTTCGAGTACAAAGGTCTGTAGTAACAGTCGCTTGGTGACTATTCGAGTTAGGATAGTCTGGGACGACGATACGGAGAGTGAATGCATCGTGAGTGGAAATAGCTGTACCCATACGGAGAAATATCCAAGCGCCAACCGAAAAACAGTTTGAGAAAAGTATAAACTTCAACCGCACGTATGAGCACAGCAGAAGGTCAATTGTTTCGTCTAAATAGCCTCGCGCAACCGCAACACCGCATTGAATGCTATTAACAGTCGGGTGCGTCAAACCAGCCGCACATGCACACGCACATGTGCGCGCATGTGCATCTGCGTGCTACCTTCCTCCGCGTCTCTCCTCGGGTATTGGGTGTTGTTGTTGTTGTTGCACGTGACAAAAAACACACACGTAAACACAGACCTAAAACGAATCAGGAATAGAAGATGCACGAGCGAACGCACACCCTCCTCGTTGTCCCTCTCTCTCTCTGTCTCTCTCTCTCTCTGTCTCTCTGTCTCTCTGTCTCTCTGTCTCTGTCTCTGTCTCTGTCTCTGTCTCTGTCTCTGTCTCTGTCTCTGTCTCTGTCTCTCTCTCTCTCCCCCTCTCTCTTTTCTCATCCCTCCTCTCTCACCGATCTTAAGTGTTTGTCGGTCGAGGACGTCGACGGCGGATGCGATCTGCGTCCCCACCCAATGAAAAAAATTGAGAAAGAAACGACGCACACGCACACGCAACAGCAGAGCGGGACAAATTATATCGTATCATACAACACACGAACGGGGCTGCTCGTGAGTGGGCTCGGGGGCGAGGGGAGGTGGTGCCAGTTGCGATGCTCAGGGTTAGAGTTGGGTTACACTACCATCGCCATATCAAAACCACAGGCTACCCTCCAATACCGTAGTGGGCCATCACTAACGCCGGTATGTGCCCAGCGAATCGACAGGCATTATTCAGAGGGACCGGCCCCATTGAATGAACAAAATTACTTGGTGATTCAGTCTGTGCCCAGCAGTTTCACCGGCGCTACACAAGGCCACCGGTGCTACTCAACCGGCATTGTTAAAGGCCCGCTCCTGTATGCACACACTGGGCAGGTGCGAAGTCCGTCGTCTAGAATGCAAACGGCGCAACCGGTGGCACAATACTTCCTTACCTCGGGGGGACGACGGCTTGGAAAACGGACAATAAAACGCCCCCCGCCTGTCGGACGAACCAACGACCCATACCGTACACAGCACATTCGAGTCTTTCGCCACCTCAAGAAGCCACCCGCAACATGCCCACAGCCCAACCCAACAAAAGCGGCGCCCGGATTCACTGCGCTTGACGGCGAGTTCCCTATTATTACACATGGAACACATTTACAACCGCGAAACACAAGCAAGCGGGCGGGAGGCAACCTACCCTGCCGCATACTCCGTGATGGTCGACAACGTTTCCATCCCGACCTGTAAACAAAAAAACAAAATAAGAACAATAAAAAAAAAAGTCCCGAAACCGAGCAGTTCCGCGCCCCCACCTTCTTGTGCTTGGCAATGGGCCCCAAGCGCGACCACGTCCCCGCCGTAGGCGAACCCCTGCCCTGCCGCCCCCGTCTCGCCCTCATCACGCCAACACCTCCTCCTCCTCGTGCCGCCCCGCCGCCGCCGCCGCCGCCGCCGGCCTCCAAGGTCTCCCCCCTGGACTCTCTCAGCTCCTGCTCGGCGCGGAAGGCGCGGTCGGAGGCCTCCCTGAGCTTGGCCGCCAGGGTCGTTCGCTCCGTCACCGACTCCTCCAGCCGCGCCTGCTTGTCCAACAGCTTGGAGCTCAGGGCCTGCCTCGGGTGATGGCGACAGTAGCAGCGACGGACGACGCGGGGGGGGGAGCACGGCCATGTTAGTCGGGGGGGGGGAGTCGCGCGATGACGGCCCCCAATAACAGACAGACAGACAGAGACAGAAAAAGAGAGAGAAAGAGAGAAAAAAATAGACAGACAGACAAGACACAGAGAGAGACAGAAAGAGACAGAAAGAGAGACACAGACAGACAGACAGCGAGACACACACAGAGACAGAAGAACAGACAGACAGACAAGGCAGCTAGACAAGACAGCTAGACAGAAAAAGACTAGAGGCAGATGCGCTGTCGTGACGAGACGAGATGTCAAGCCACACGACAGTAGCAGTGGCAACGCCACCCGTGCCGACACACACCGACCGGCTGGCTGGCTGTCAACGCGACGACTACTGTACTGGGTGCTGGTGTTGGGCGGGTACGTCCACGATCTTCAAATTTGGACGCCACGGCATTTCACGATATCCTGGCTCCTGTTTAGGTTTGGTTTAGACTATCCCTCGTGCCGTCCTCCGCTCTTCGCATCGTCAGTGACTGCTGAGGCCGCAAAATGCTGAGGCTTGATGACTAAGCCAGCCGATTGGGCCGATGGTTAAAGCAACACCTCAACGCACACTGGCCGGGGAGCCCGCGGACTGCAGACCGTTCGTACAGTAAGGTTCTCGTCCCCCTACATGTGATTCTTCTTTTTCAACAGCCACCTGATTGGCGCGGTCACGATGCTCGTTGAACAGTGCCGTGTGTGAATGACGGCGCTGAATCTAAAAATAGGCCGCACAAGCGTACGTAACATGCCCCGGTTCGACCTTCTTTAGGCTTAAAATGACCGCTCTCTCACTTGAATCTGAGCCTCGGGTCCCGCAGGGGTTGGCACCGATGCTTCGAGCCTTTTGGCGCTAGCTCTCTCCTGCTGCAGCTGCTGCTCCAGACGGGATGCCTTGGCTAAGAGCAAAGAGAGGGGATGGAAGAGATGGAGCGAGATACCGTCACCACCATGTCGCGGCAACGAGCGGTATCTACGTGGACGACAAAAAGACACGCATGGCACGCGTGAAGCAGCAACAGCAGTTGCAGGTGTACCATCACCACTACCACCACCAATACCAGCATCACAAGAGATGAACACAAAAAAACAACCGACAACATCATAACTACATGGGCGTGGCGTGTCACGACAGCACAAAGCAGTGTAGCCAGCTGCGTAGCCTACAGTGTGTCTTCAACACAGCACGCACACAGCACATGAAATATCAACAGCACTTGTACTACAGTACTACTATAGTACTACCTCTACAGTACTTGCCGAAGGAGTCGGCGGCCATCTTGGCGTGCTCCTGACGCTGCCTCTCGACCACGGCCTCCGTAGCCCGGGCCGAGTCCAGGTCGTGCTTCAGCAAGTCCACCTCCTGCTTCAACGACCGCGTGCGCTCTTGCTCCAGTTCTAGGGACGCCTGTGAACGCAGGTTTTAAAACGAAGCAGCAACCGTTGAGAGAGGGATGAAGACGGAGAGAGAGAAGGGGGGTGAGGGAGCGACCGTCAGCATGAAACAAATGTTGCGGGGGAGGGGTAAGGAAGGACGAGAGTCAAAGGTCAGCGCCGAGCCAAAGCCCGAGCGCTCCAACGATAAACCGAAACGACGCGAAAACGACGACGACAGCAGGAGCAGCAGCAACAGCAACAGCAACGGTCATCCGCGATCAACTTTGCTTGTCCTGCCAAACGACAAGAGCATCGTAGAGGAAAACAACGCACAAATACAAGTAAACAACCTCAACATGCAGCAGTACGACCTAGAAAGACTCAACACATGCACACACCATATCACTATTTAGTCACCCATCAATCCTCTGCACGACGTTTCGCAAGGCAGCAATCCCACACCTGACAACTGTCCAGCTCGTCGGCCAAGGCCCGGAATTCTCGGTCTGACGTTCGCACGCCGCCGCGCGTCCCACCACCACGCGGTGACCCCTGCAAACAAAAACAAAAAAGACGCGAAAGACGCGACAACACCATCAGGGCAAGGCACAACCGACACGGAACTGAAAACTTCATCACCACGGAATTAAGACTCATCATCACGGAATGAGACTCTCATCACACCACGGAAAAAGACTCTCAAGACCGCGGAGAACTTCTCCGCGAACGATTTTCCGGCCACGTTGATTCCACGGTTTCTGGGTCGGGTCCGCGCAATTTTTTGGCTACACTTCAATGTTTCCCGGGAAGTATCACAAGCCTAAAACTCGCTGTAACCCGATACTCTTCACCCAAAGCATCTATTACCACCACATTTCCAACCCTGGCGGTTTTGAACAAATTGCGTTGGGGCTTGGTTCGACGTGCCAGTGAGCAGCTCAAGTGCAACGCTTGAAAAGCCGTTGTTTTCCGGCATCGTGTACAGGGTACTCGGCACAAGCGTCGAAATGGCGTTCGCAGCCATTGCCCCGCCACACACACGCCCCCCTAGATAGAGCATTACCTTGGACTTTGGACTGCCTACATAGGTCTCCCCCCTCCCCCTTCTTCCCCCTTTCCCCTCTCTCTCTGCCTCTCGTTGCGTTGTTTATAAAAAGCGCTAAACGGTCTCTCACAAACTTCGATGTTCTGCGCACTATCGTACACCGCAGTGCCACGCACCTCTCCTTCCCCCCCGCCCTCCTCCGCGCCAGGCTGGTGTTTCTTCCGGTTGGCCTCGGCCAGGGCTGCGGCAAGCTGCGCCGCGGTGGCCTCTAGCTCCGTCTGCCTCGCCTGCGCTTGCCGCATCCAGGCCCGGTGCCTCGCCTCCACCTCTTCGGCGTCCGCCTCTGCCCGAGTCAAAGCCTCCCGCACCTGGTTTCAATGGTATGTAGGGAAATACAATAGCCGGTTTTCGCCCTCCTCACCCCACAGACTTCATTCAACAGATCGCTTTCGATTGCTGCGGGATTGCTATCTGGAACGGGTAGCCTTTCTGTCATTAGATTGTATTATCTGAAAATAGAACGCTTCGTGAAGCAATTCTAGCACAGAATAGTGGGGGGGTTGGGGGGGGGGGGGTGCTGGGGGTAGCTTTCGATATCGTTTGAACAACCTGATGGCCGGATCCAACCAATCCACCAAAGCCTTGGGAAGGGGAAGGCAACGTCGCCGTGGCCTGTCAGGGTATTCAAAAACAATAAACGGGGACCGCCGCAGACCTACCAGCATCAAGCTTTTTCCACCGCTTATCCTCTCGTGGAAACCAACCAATCACCGCCCCCCCCCCCCCACGGTGCTCAAGACAACCACACAAGACACGCCCGGCAGCAGACACCTTTAACTAACCCTCATCACACAACCGTCCTCGCCGCCGCCACTCCCACCACCCCGTCTCCCCCGGGCACGCCAACAGCACCACACCAACACCACACCCCCCAAACGACGACGGGACGAAACGGCCCAACTACCGTACAACTTGCCAAGCCCGAGGGGAAAACGGTACAAGGGGAGAAAAGGAAGCAGTGCAAGAACTTCGACAGCCCGGGGGACGCAAAGCCGAGACAAACAAAAGCAAGCAGCAGGCAGTAACCGCAAAGCAAGCAGGCGGCGTCACCTCTTCCGCGGAACGATCCTGGCCCGAACGAGCCCCCTTGAGCTCCTCCAGGAGCTCCTCCTTCTCAGTCGCGAGCCTCGTAGCGGCGTCCTCCCTCTCCATAGCCAACGCCTCCAAAGCGGACAGCGCGGCCCGCGCCTGGAATGGAGTGAAACCGGTTCGATTGTTGCTGATGCTGTTGTTGTTGTTGTTGTTGTTGCTATTGTTGTTTATTAGAAAATACTTGTACGAAATATACTGGTATATGGTATACTTTTTGTTGTTGCTTTTTGTCAGTCAAGGTATTGTAGGGCACACGAATAGCAAAATGGCAACGCATTGGCACGTCATGCTAGATCGTAGCCCCCTAGGCACTTGCCGAGAGATGCACGGACCGTGCCAGCGATTTTCCTCGGATAAACCTTAGGAGCAAACTGAACAACAAAACACCGCCCCCGCGAACAACGCCCACCGTGTTGGCCAATTTTCGGCATGTGCTGTGCTTTTTGGCACCCCACTGGCAAATACCAATAAGGCAATGCACGAGATATGAATGACCCCATGCGACTTCACGTGCGCGTGTTCACCACTTACACAAGGGGACCGGCAGATGGACCGGACACGCAACGGGCATCACCAAAACGTTTCAAGTGGATGGGGGGGGGGGGGGGGGG